CTCTGGCCAGGAGGGATTTTATAGTACTGTACACAGGAGGGCTGTTACCCTTCCCTTTATAATTATGACAGCAAGCTTGTCCTCCTCCTCCTCCTCTTCCCCGTCCACAGAATCCTCAGGTGTGGCTGAGATTACCTGCGCCTCGGAATCCACGGTCAGAGGTGGGGTAGTGGTGGCAGCCCCCCCTAGAATTGCATGCAGCTCAGCGCAGAAGCAGCATGTCTGTGGCTCTGACCTGGAGCGACCGTTTGCCTCCTTGGTTTTTTGATAGGCTTGTCTGAGCTCCTTAACTTTCATGCGGCACTGATATGAGTCCCTGTTGTGGCCTCTCTCCATCATGCCCTTGGAGATTTTTTCAAAAGTTTTGGCATTTCGTTTTTTGGAACGTAGTTCTGCTAGCACTGAATCCTCTCCCCATATAGCGATCAGATCCAGTACCTCCCGTACCATCCAAGCTGGTGCTCTTTTTCGATTCTCGGACTGCATGGTTACCTGTGTTGATGAGCTCTGCGTGGTCACCTGTGCTCTCCACGCTGGACAAACAGGAAATAAAATTCAAAAGTTCGCGGGGCTTTTTCTGTCTATCTAGCCAGTGCATCCGAGTTCAGATTGCTGTCCAGAGCGGTCACAATGGTGCACTGTGGGATAGCTCCCAGAGGCCAATAACTTCGAATTGCGGCCACACTAACCCTAATTTGAAATGGCAATACCGATTTCAGAGCTACTCCCCTCGTCGGGGAGGAGTACAGATATCGATATTAAGAGCCCTTTATATCGAAATAAAGGGCTTCGTTGTGTGCACGGGTGCAGGGTTAATTCAATTTAATGCTGCTAAATTCAAATTAAACTCATAGTGTAGACCAGGCCTCAGACATATTCACTTCTGATGTCCCATCCCACTTTTTTGTGTTTGTCCATTTTTGCATGGGGTGATGTAGTCAAAGTGGATGCGGAATGAGCATTGTGCAGAAGGAATCATCACGATAAACAGGAAAGAAATTGAGGCAGTTGACAAATATATTCACCTAGGTCAGCAGCTGAGCAGAGACAACTTATTTGAAGGGATTCCCCTTAGGAGTAGGAGGCGAAAGGCGGGGTGGGCAAGTTTCAACAAAATAAAGACGTCTCTAATGTCAGGACAGGATTAGTGTTGTTTAATATATTTAAACTCCATTGGAAAAAGAGTGAATAATGGGTGCCAAATTTACAGGTGATACAAAATAATTCAAGATAGTTAAGACTAGAAAAAAATTGTGAGAATCTCCAGTGGGAATAGGCAACAAAGTGGCAGATGAAATTTACTGCTGACAAATGCAAAGTAATGCATGTTGGAAGAAGTAATTTCAAGTACTCGTTCACCTTATTGGGTTCTAAATGAACAGTAGCAACTCAAGACAGAAAGACCTGGACAAATCAATGAATCTGCTCAATGTGCAGCAGCAGTTAAAAAAGCAAATAAAATGTCAGGCTATATAAGAAAGGGGATAGATAATACTGTTTTAAATACTATTACATAGAAAAAAGCTACAGTAAAAGAATATTTATTTTATAAATTCAAGCACACAGAACTTGTGAATTGCCAGATTTACAGTTGTTTGTGCAACCCCAATTCCTCATTCATCCATCCTATGAACTGAATGATGCAAAGGTCCTATGGAAAAAATAGTATGTGTTTACATATTTAAAGACTGTATCATAATGCATGGGCAAAAGGGGGTAGAACGAGGTTGTTTGAGCAACCATAAATTTAGCATTTCCTAACTTTCAAGTGCTTGACATTGCAACCTAAATAATGTTCATTTAACATTTTTTGTATTTAATTTCCTGGGTGTTTTAAAGGAAAAAGGTTAAGATAAATTCTCCTATGTGCAAGGTAACAACCTCCCCAATAAGTATTAGGGTTTCAATCCTGAGTCTTCTGGATTGCAGCACAAACTGTTACCACTTGAGTACAGGACTAATTGTTAGTGAGGCAGGAGGAAGCTGTTATCAGAGTGGGGAATGAACCTCTAGGTCCAGGTGCTTTGGTCAGTGGGAGAGCACCCGGCCTGGCCTGGCCCAAATCTCTAGCTCTCTCACACTGTGGGAGTTGGGGGAGCTCTTGCACTATGAAGTACCCCCAGAGGGGGCATATTAAGGCCATGTGCTGGGTCTGGGGGAGGGGAGCCCAGCCCAACTCTGTTCTTCATCACACCCCTGCTACAGCTGCACTGGCAGCTTCCAGGTATTCTCAGGGCAGCTGCGACTGCTTTGGGGAATGCATGTGAGAGAAGAGAAATCGCATTCTATTCTTTTGATATTTCTCAGGAAAAGTTGAATGGAATTTTCATAAGAAATTTCCTTTTTGTATCCTGAGGACATTCCCCTGCCAAATATCAAAGGCTGTTACAAACAATGGAGGGGTGAGAATTTCTCAAAGAAATTATGGCAAGAATCCTTTATAATAGAAAGTGTTAGGGAATCTAAAGGGGTGTATGGGTCACTACCAGCTTCCCCTATATTAATGTCATCATATAAATCACAGGACACCATGTCTGCAATACTGTGTTCATTTCCTGTCACTCCATCTCATCAAAGATATAAGTAAATAAAGGCAATCTTGATTTGGGCAACAAAAATGGAAGGGGCCTGGAGAAATTTCTATGTGATGAGTGAAAACTGTGGAGGCCAAGCTCTATTGTTACGCTACTGTTAATCCAAAGTAACTCAGTTGACTTTAGTGATGTTACTCCAGATTTACGCCAGTGTGACTTAGGGCATAATGTTGTTCTATTTAGTATAGTGAGACTAATAAGGGACATGATAGAGGCACATAAAAAAAGAATGGTATTGTGAAAAGATGGTATTTTGACCACTCCTTTTTATCTAATCACATGACACAAGAGGACAGTCAATGAAATTGGAAATGCAACAAACTAAAACCTGATAAATCAACCTGCAGAATGCACTGTCACAAGGATACTATAGAAATTAAGAGCTTAGCAAGATTCCAAAAAGGGGTAGACACATATGGATACTGAGAACACCCAGATTTGTATTATATCGGGGTTTTATTTAATAAAGGACATAGACCTTTATGCTTAAGAACATACCCAGCCATTAACTGACATAGTTTAGAAACTGTCTGTGGGCTGTTTATTCTACAGTTGTCCATGAAGACATTTCTTGAACCTTCCCCTGAAGTGTCTGATGATGGCAACTTTCAGAGACTTGGATACTGGATTAGTTGGTTTTATCCACAGTGGTAATTCTTGCATTCCCAATAGCACAAACTGCATAAGTGAATTCATGAATTCATGAATGCGACTTCAGACAAGGTAGGGCCAAAGTAAGAGCAGGTACTGGCCCCGTTCCAAGACTGGCTATAATCAGATAAACAGACAAAGGAAATGTGGGAGGGATGTGATAGTTGTTCTCCTAGGAAATGTAAAATGACACTAGATACTGATGGACTGGTTCTGTAGCTACAAACTACTGAGGGTCTCTTCCTCAGTTTTTATATTAGAGCAGGGGTAGGCAACCTATGGCACTCACGCTGCCCCGGTCCTGGCCACCAGTCCGGGGGGCTCTGCATTTTAATTTAATTTTAAATGAAGCTTCTTAAACATTTTAAAAACCCTATTTACTTTACATACAACAATAGTTTAGTTATATATTATAGACTTATAGAAAGAGACCTTCTAAAAACATTAAAATGTATTACTGACACGCGAAACCTTATATTCGAATGAATAAATGAAAACTCGGCACACCACTTCTGAAAGGTTGCCGACCCCTGTATTAGAGGTTAGAAAGCAACATTTGTTTTCTGACTCTGTCTTTCCTTTTCACTAGTTAGTTTCTAGGCTAGCTGTAGTTTTATAGTGACAAACATATAAAAATAAAGGACTAAATTAGGACTAAAGTCTCTAGAGTTAGGTTCCTAAATCCATACTTAAGCACATGAATAAGTTACCTAATTTTAAGTGTTGAACACCCACAGCTCCCATGGATATCACCCTTACTTGGCTAAAGTCTCTTTAGGAGCCAGTCCTGTTATAGTTTAACTCTGCACTCTTGTGTGTTTCCAAAATCATTCTCTGTTTGCCCCACTGCCTAGAATGAGGCCCCTCAATCTTCTGGATACCTAGATAAAACATTTGGATTTGAACAGTGTGTTAGACTACAGTAAAAATCCATGATGGATCCCCATACCAGACCTTTCTTTGCATGGAAGAAGGATGCTGTCCAACAGGATACTCAGTTTAATTTGTCTTTCCTCCTCTGCCCTGCCTTGAGCAGAGCAGTGGTTCAAACTCCTGGAAGAGTTTATGAAAGAGGTACTAAAAGCCCAGCCAGATTGACACTGAGGCCATCTCATCTATTATAAGAGTGTGCTGCATTCCATGTGCTGCCTTGATTCAAGTGCAGGTAGACAGCACTCCCTGTTCTACTCTTCCCTTCAGATCCCTGGTCTCAGCTTCAGAGGCCACTGCAGCACCACTCTCCATATCCTTCCTGCTCAGGTAATGCAGTTTCTATAAGTGAGGCATAGATGGAGCAGGTTGCCCACCACTGGCCTAGCTGGAAATACAGACTATCTGCAATGATGATTCCTAATTCACCTTCTCAGGCCTTTTCCCATCCTGCCATATCAAATCAATAGAATGTTAAAAATGTTCCTGACCATTTTCTCTTTTCCTTATGTATAGCAAGAACCAGTCTGTCTCAGTTTAATTTTACCTTATAACGGAATGTGTTAAAATGCTTATATTCTTAGTGTTTTATTAGTTTCTAAGGGGACTACTATTCTCCTGTCAAGATAAGTAGATTTAACACAGGGATCAAATACATTATTCATTAGAAATATTAGAAGCCTCAACAATAGGAAATATTTATGAGACTATTCAAAGAAAAGCTAGATTTCGTTTCAGATTTATTTGCATGCTTTGTATAAATCCCTCCCCCAAAGATTGGAAAGGAATAAAGTATTCCTCTTTTCTTTTCTCTTCTCTCTGCAGCATTAAAGCTGGGTCCTGAAGCGTTCAAATTTGATGGTGGCCTAGAGGCAGTGGCAGTGCGGCAGAATGAAAAGTATTACATTCTAAGACCAGAGGTGATCGAGACCTATTGGTATATGTGGAGATTTACACATGATCCCAAATACAGGCAGTGGGGCTGGGAAGCAGCACAGGTAACTGCTGATTGGCTCAGTCAATAGAATTATTCTGCTTTGTTCTTCTGTAGCTCTTTTCATCCCAAACACTTTCCAAACAATAATTTATTAGCCATTACCAGCCCCTGTAAAATAGATTGGTTGTGTTGGTGGTGGTGATTACTATTATCTTTCCTGTATAACAGATGGAGAAATGGATGTATAAATAGGTGATCTGTTCAAGGTTACACAACAAGTGAGTGGCAGAGTTGGCAATAGAACCCAGTAGCCATGACGCCCAGGCCCTATACTAATCAGTAGAATCCCAGTCCCAATAAAGGTTTCTCTGAGATAAGCTTTGGAGGTTTTAACCCCCAGTGTTTTCTTGTGCCTCTCTGTCTGAGAGGATACCAAGCTCTTCCTTGAGCTCCTCCCGCAGTTTTCAGGGCAGCTTCTTCACATGCTCTTCAAATATGTGTCAGTGTGGATCCCACTGTAGGTGCACATGCATTTTATGCATGTGACTGGATTCTTTTTGCTAGCAGTGTCCTTTGGGGCTGCACTGGCTCCCATACAAAGGCATAAAGGGTGGGCGGCCACGACTCTCCCTCAGTTCCCTCTTACCACCCATGGCAGTGAGATGGAACCTAGCAGTGTCCTATCTGCTAGCAACTCTATCATGGTCTTTCTTAATCTAAACTTCTGAAATTCTCCAGACCAATCTTCATCTCTTTACCTTCAACCTTTTGGACTCAATAATCGTTGTCTGGATTGAAATCCTTCAATCAGACCTCCCTGAACAACTTCCACCCTCTAAACAGACCCCACCGCTCACATATAGGATCATAAGATTGCAGTCTCAAAAACAGTGGGCTTCAATCCCTACCCATCATACAAACTAATCCTGCATAAAGATGGGCACAGCAGATGCCTTTTCTGCCTAGATGAACCATACTTTCCAAGCAGGTGCTTTTGTTCTCCACTAAAACCAGAAAATTGTGGGATGTGAGCTCAAGCTCCACGTCTTAGAACAATCTGTGGGAATGGCATTGGACACAGAAAATCTGGGTTCAAGAACCCCCATACCAGTTAAACCTGTAAACTCTTGTCTCTCTCACCAACAGAAGTTGGTCCTATAAAAGATATTACCTCTCTCACCTTGTCTATATAATAAAATTGTCAAGGTTTTAGAACACAGACCATCAAGATTTCTCTCACTGGCCCTTTTAGCAACTACACATTGCAAACATTTCAAAGTATGACCATTATCCCTATTCCACTATAGCAAAATGGAATCACATAGTAACTGTGTGGCCTAGTGGAAAGACTGTTGAACTGGGACTATTCCTAGCTCTGCCACTGGCCTGCTGGGTGACCTTGGCAAGTCACTTCATCTCTCTGTGCCTTGGTTTCCCATATGAAAAGTGGGGATAATATTGTAAAGTTCTTTAAGATCTACTGATGAAAAGCACTATATAAAAGCTAGGTCTTTTGATTAGTACCTAGCTGCAGTAGCATATCAACTGCAAACCTAGGTGAGAATTACACCTGTCTAAATGACCACTAACTCCTACAAACTAACATTTCTTTTTTGGTTTAAAAAACCTAAGAAATTAAATGGCAAAGGCTTTGTTAATGCAGCGTTAAGGTTGCCTGGTGATAGCTTGTGCCCTTGCAGAATGGTGAGTTCAGCAAAGGTCAAACTTCTGAAAAACAGGAAACAAGAGTTAAGTTAAATACCCATACAACCTTCAAACTGCCCTTTTGGAGCAACGCCCTGCAACCGCCATAACACACACACTCATACTCTGCCTTTTCATTGTAGTGGACAGGCACTGCCTGCATTTGCCCTGTGCTCAAACACTGAGCCTACTCCCCCAACAGAATACCACACTTTTAAAATTTAATGTCATCATATCCTTTTAAATCTCACCTCACACTGACAGTACCCAGGGCAAGACCACCGCAGTGCCCTACTACTGAACATAAGAACGGCCATACTGGGACAGACCAATGGTTTATCTAGCCCCGTATCCTGGCTTCTGACAGTGGCCGGTGCCAGATGCTTCAACGGTAGTGAACAGGACAGGGCAATCATCAAGAGATCCGTCCCCTGTTGTCCAGGCCCAGCTTCTAACAGTCAGAGGTTTAGGGACACCCAGAGCATGGGGTTGTGTCGCTGGCCATCTTGGGAAACAGCTATTGATGGATATATCCTCCAGGAATTTACATCATTCTTTTTTTAACCCAGTTCTACTTTTGGCCTTCACAATGTTCTCTGGCAATAAGTACCATGGGTTGACTGTGTGTTGTGTGAAGCAGTACTTCCTTGTCTTAGTTCTAAACCTGCTGCCAATTAATTTCATGGGGTGACCCCTAGTTCATGTGTTATGTAAAAGGGTAAATAACACTTCTTTATTCACTTTCTCCACACCATTCATGATTTTATATACCTCTATCATATCCCCACTTAGTTGTCTCTTTTCAAAGCTGAACAGTTCCAGTCTTTTTAATCTCTCTCCTCACACGGTAGCTGTTCCATACCCTTAATCATTTTTGTTGCCCTTTTCTGTACTTTTTCCAATTATAATTTTTTTTTTTGAGATGGGATGACCAGAACTGCACACAGTATTCAAGATGTGGGCGTGCCATGGATTTATATAGAGGCAATATGATATTTTCTGTCTTATTATCTATCCCTTTCCTAATGGTTCTAAACATTCTGTTTGCTTTTTTGACTTTCGTTGCACACTGAGCAGATGTTTTCAGGGAACTATCCACAGTAACTCCCAAGATCTCTTTCTTGAGTGGTAATAGCTAATTTACACCCCCTCATTTTGTATGTATAATTGGGATTGTTTCCCAATGTGCATTATTTTGCATTTATCAACATTGAATTTCATCTGCCATTTTGTTTCCCAGTCTGATACAACCTATACAATTATGTATTGAAGTGATGCCAACTGGAACCTCAAGGTACACATGTACATCCTTCCTTTAATAACACATGAGGGGACTCAGACCCAGATCTCTGCATATCACTGTCACAGCTCTGTGATTCTCCTCTAATTAATTCCCAGATCTCATATCACAATAACTGCTCTTTCAAGTTGTCCCAGCCATTCAGTACAGCTACACCTAACAGGGAATGCAGCTAAGTGCATGCAGATAATTCTCAGTGGCTATTGTCCACTTGCAGGAGGCAAAGTTAAGTTTGTGTAGGCATTTACCTTAACTATGTATTACCTGGTTTTCAGAAGTCTGGATTTTTCTGAACTTAATGTTCTGGAAAGTCACAAACTATAACTGGGCAACCTTATCTCTTCATTAATTATTTTTTTGCCATTTAATGCCTACCACATAGTGGTCCTTTGTGAATTAATTAGCTAATGTTTGTAACATACTTTGTAAAAGCGAAGTATTGTTTTTAACCTATAGTATTTATGTTGCTATCAGCATTTATAATAGCTGTTGGTAATTAAAATCTGTCAGGAACAGCCAGCATGACCAAGTCCAGCCTCTAAAAGTCTTCAGTGGCTGCTGTCCTCTTGAATAGAGGTGCTTCCTGAAGAAAGTACAGACACTGGCATGCATTGTGGCCAGGTGACTATGTTAAAGATAGGACAGTCATGCTGAGACCTGGTGTTCCCCTTCCCCACCCTCTCATCTACTCTCATTGTTAAGAGTCTGGATGAATTAAAGTTTCTTTATAATAGTCCTAAACTATTATAGCCACACACTTTGACTATCTGACTGATACTGTTGGATTTTGTAGTTATAGATATGGACAATTTTAACCTATAGTCCTACAGTTTTAGGGGAAACCACATAACTTTCCCTGCTAGTTTCCCTGATTGCATCTGCAGATATTCACAAACACACATTTCCAGTGGAGAATCTCTTTTGTTAACAGCCCTCCAAGGTTGAGGCATAGATTGTGAGTAGCTCATTCAGTCTGAATTCATTTTCTTTGTGTATAGAGACATCTGTTTCTACACTGCATTTGTTCCCCTGCTTCAACTCCTCTCAGCTTCTGTTGAGCATAACAAACAGAAAGCCCTGGCTGGGATGACTTAGTTTAGGTTGGTCCTCCTTTGAGCAGGGGGAATGGACTAGATGATCTCCTGAGGTCTCTTCCAATCCTGATATTCTATGATTCTACGATTCCTCTTTGTATTTGTGTGCTCAGGGACTTGGATTTCACCATTTCAAAGGCCAGGAGCCCTGCTGGGACAGCTCAGACCAGTACAGCTGGGATCAAAATTCAGTTAAAATAGGAAAGGAAGAGATCACATGGGAGTCCAAAGGGAGGTGGAGGAGGCTGTACGGGTCAGCAGACAGCCCCCAGTGATGCGTACAATCCCTTGTGCCCCCTCTTAATAACCTTCTGCAGGAACCCATGACAAACTATCTCAAAGTTTCTAAAACTCCTCCAGCTCTCCTATCTACAAAATCCAGTGATATGAATGTCCTTCCCCCATTATTTCAGCTGTAATTCTCAATACCATTAGCAGAGTATGTCGCTGTGTACTTTGATCAGTATTGGTCAATCCTTGCTTTGTCGTATCTTTTCAAATATTAAAGTACAGGTAAAATATGCCTCTTCTGTTCTTACGTCATCTCTACAGGCTATTGACAAGTACTGCCGAGTCAGTGGTGGATTTTCGGGGGTCAAGGATGTCTATTCCTCATCTCCTGCATATGACGATGTACAACAGAGCTTTTTCCTTGCTGAAACTCTGAAGTAAGCAAACTTCTCTTTATGCATATTCCCATAAAATAGCCTGGGGCAGTGTCACGTACTGTATGATTACCCAGTGCCTAAAAGAATAGATTGGATTAACACTTCAAATTCGAGACCGTCACAGGGTGTTTTCCTCTTTTTATTTTTTTTTTGGAGTTCCCTGGTTTTCCCATTCCAGTCTAGAGAAACCATAGCAAAAATCCCCCAATGACAGAAGTGTGAGCTTATTGTTCTTAAGACCTCACTTTGATTTCTTGTATCTCTAGTCAGAACACAACTGCCAGGGAAAAGGAGAGGTTATCGCCTCTAAACAAATTCCATTCGTAAGGAGATCATTTAATTTTAGCTGCACTGAATCAACATGTTTTACAGGACCAAATGCCAGGACATTTATCTTGCAGAATCTACTCTGCCTGCATGTTGCAATGACCTAGCTGGGGGACTGTGAAGGGGAAAATATGGCATGGTACAAAAATCCACCACACAGTTATTGGATATTTTTTTCTGTATTATGTCTGCAGAATGTTTGTTTAGTGGGGTAACTTTTAATTCAAAGCCAGATTCAGCATGTTTTCAAATTTTAGAGATCTTTAAATATTTTTGTTTAGTCGAAATTTGTTAACTAGAAATGGTTCAACTAGGGCACATCTAGTCCATCTTCCAGATGGTAATGCAGTCTGTTCTCCAGTATTTCATCCAGTCTGGTTTTAAGTGTCCCAAGTAATGGATCTTCCTCCACCTTTTTTTCCCAAGTAATAACCTAGCAACTACTGTACTAGAACACACCAATGGTACTGAGATACTGCCGTGATGGATGCCATGATAGGAATCTATATAGAGATAACAACGTATTATGGAGGCTTTGCTAACACTCCATAGTTAAGATTGAGTTGAGTTTTGCACTTAAAGCCAGCATCTTTTATATTTATGAAAAAAAAGTGTCATCTTGTTAAGTATAGAATGAATATCAGAGAATTTAAAATTAAATCTCTTAATTGGTTTGATTGGTTTGGTCATAAACGAACAGTATAGAGTCTTCAAACTTCCTATGTAGTTAAAACTCACTGAAATCTTGTGCATACGCTCCACTGAAAAATGTTTAGGATTAATGGACATTGTTTGCCATTATTCTTCATGACTGAAATTTCTCCTTCAGCAGAGGTTGAAGAATAATGTTCTACTCTATAGACTTCCAGGGAGAGCTTTAAAAATGGCTGCTACTTCTGTTGTTCTCAATGAGATCGAGGCCACACACTGCCCTTAGAAAGAATATCCCAGTGTATCTGCTCCTCACAATGCTCCTCTCAACCTCCCAAGAAGGGACCATAATCTTCCGTCCAGACAGATTGGTTTCACGCCTGTTGGTAACAATTGGAGGCAGTATGCAATTGGGAACAGGACATCTTAACTGTGTGCAGCCCTTTGGTCTCACTTTTATTAAGAACTAGAGTTGGTAGAATTGTCCTAAATATTGCATTTTTGTCAAAAGTTTTTGTCAAATTCAATTTTCAATGAAAAATTAACAAAAAATATTTAGTCAAACATTTTGGGTTTTCAAACCGCTTTAGAGCTGGTTGGAATTTTTTGATTAAAATGTTAATGAAATTTTGACATTTTTCAAACCTTTGAAGTGTAAAAAAACTTGAAAAATTCCTGAAAAATGTATTAGTGCTTTTTCAACCATTCCTGTCAAGAAAAATGGGAGATGGAGACATCTCCTTTGTCAAGAAAGGCTGAAGAAAAAAATCACAAGCTTTCCGTTATGAAAAATAATGGCAAAATGACTATTAATCCTAAATATTTGTTTTAAAAAACTAATTGTTCTTCGAGTGATTGTACATGTCCAGTCAACTATTGAAGTCTGTGCGCCCAGTGCATGGCTGTCAGAAACATTTTCCCTCAGCGGTACTCGTTGGGCAGCTCAAGCGCCCTCTGCGCTGGGTTCTACTGACTACTCCCTATTTGACTGTCTATGTCACTGACTGATTATTTACATATTGAATCCTTCCTCCATTGCTTTTCTCTGTTGGATTTATCCACTCCAGAACTGAATCATCATAGGTTTCATTTCTTGTTTCATTTACTCACAATGTAACTGCTTGTTGTATGTAACCGATTACTTATCATGACCAGTCACTTCTCTCCTATGGCTCTAGCCTACCCTCTTCTATACATTTTATTTTTCCTCTTGTGCTCTCTTCCTTCCATCTTCTCCTCTTGCTCTTTTCCCCATTCCACAGCTCTCCCCAACCTTTCTCTATGAATTGGACAGTACCGCCATTCTCCCTGTCATTCAGCCTTGGTATCATCTTTTGACTCAACACTTTCCTTTGGTCCATATGTCCAAACTATGTCTAAATCTTGCTGCTCCCTCCTGCACAACATCTTTAAAAGCTGATCTCTCTTCTGTGCTCACACTGCGCAAACTCTTGTCCAAGCTCAGATCATCTCACATCTCAGCTACTGCAATCTCCTCCTCCTTTACCCTTAATGTCTGTAGCCTCACTCCCCTCAAATCCCCTCAAATGCTGCTGCTAAAATAATCTTCCTGGCTTGTCACTCTGATTGTCACCCCTTCCTCTGGCTGATCCTCTTCCACTACAATCAGACTCCAAACTTCTTGTTGCATTCTCACAAAGCATTTCCCAACCTAGGTCTGTCCTGCCTAGCCAACCTTTTATCTTACAGTAAGGTTGACTCTTGCCCAGGGCCAGCCCGCAACATTTTGGCACCTGAGGCGGGGAGCTCAAATGACACCCTCATGTCCCCTCGCTTGGGCCAAAACTTTGAAAGGTCTCAATTCTGCCTTCTTCCTGTTCTACTCCTCTCATGGTACTGCTATGCTACCTACCCCAATAAAGGAGAACTAACAACTTAAAATGCCTTGTTCAAAAATATTAAGTAACACTTAACTTTCAAACGCCTGAACAGCAAATGTAACTTTTCTTGTCTGCATAGTAAACACTGGCATTTTTATCTGTTTGAATAATCAAAGTGGTGCTTTCCGTGCCTTCTTGGTTGCAAAGATTTGAACTGCTTCCTGAAGGTCCATACTCTGGGCCAGCTCATGTTCTATTGAGATGGTTGCAAGGCCAACCAGCCTCTCCTGTGTCATTGTGGAGAGTAGATGTGTTTTTATTAACTTCGGCTTGGAGAAGCTGCGTTCTCCACTGGCAACTGTTACAGGAAGTGTTAGAAGTACGCGCAGAGCAAGAAAAGCATTTGGAAAGAGGGTGGTCATCTTATTTGTGCGCATATATTCCAGAACAGCCTTTGGAGTTGATCCTGCTGAAATGTATCTTGAAACGGCTTTCAGTTCATCACCTAAATCACTTGCATCAATATCGCGCATGTCATCATGTGTCAACACTGTCTCTAGTGCCCTGCATTGCTGGTGTAGGTCTTCTTCAGGTATAGTGAGGAGTTTTGGAATATCATATAACATCCCAAATATACTGCTGTGTTCCTTGAGCTGCATGAAACATTCTTCAACTGACTGTATTGCACAATCTAGCACCTGGTTAAGGAATTCAACTTTGAATTGTTGTTTGGGGTCTCTTATGGGATTATCCCGTGCCTCGTAATCAAAATGTCTTCTTCTTTGGTGACTCTTGTATTCTTGAATGGGTGGGGAAATAGCTTCAGTGTGACGTTCCTCTGCCAACTTCTGTGCACTCTTCAGAACGTTTTGAAATCCCTCATCTGACTGGTAAGACTGTAAGTATGACTTCGCTTTGTCCAGTTGTTCAATTGCTCCTGATATATCAAGGTCAACACCTTGGAGTCTCTTGCTTACAACATTTATTTCAAACAGTATGTCATGCCACAACACAAAGCCACACAGAAATTTGAAGTTATGTATGTTTCTGGTGATTCCATTTCCCTCTGCCACTGTTCTCCCACGAACAGTTCCTGTCATAGCATTATCCTCCATAATGGCAACCATGGCATCATCTATCTTCCCAGTTTGGTGTTTGATAGGCTTTATCGCCTCCACTCGACTTTCCCATCATGTGGCACTCAGTGGTTTCAGTGTGAGAGAGGATGTTCCCAGATGTTGCTTCAAAATTTGACATCGATGAGTTGATGCAGAGAAAAATACATAGATGCTTTGAATTACATTAAAAAATTTAGCAGCCTCACTAGAAGCTGATGCTGCATCACTGACCACCAAGTTCAGTGATTGAGAACTGCATGGGGCAAAAAAAGCTCGAGGGTTTAACTCTCGGATCTGTGTCTGCACTCCTTTGTTCTTTCCTCTCATGTTGGCACCATTATCGTAGCCCTGACCTCTCATGTCCGCTATCGCAATTCCCATATCATCCAGCTTTTTAAGAAGCACATTTGTCATACCAGCTCCTGTAGTATCATCAATGTCAATAAATTCTAGAAAATGCTCTCTGATAGTCACCATTTCAGGGGCATTTTCACTAGCTTCTGTTGTTGTTACCAAATGCACCATTAAAGTCATTTGTTCCGTATGGCTGATGTCTGGTTTGCGGTCCAGAATAACAGAGTAATATCTTGCTGACATCAGATCTGCCACAATCTTCTGTTTGACTTTTGTTGCCAATAACTGTATGATCTAATTTTGAATTGTTTTTCCAAGGTAGTGTTGTGTGTACATTTCTTGGGTGGTGACTCTTCTTAGATGCTCCTGGAGTACACCATCAAACTCAGCCATCAGCTCCACAATTTTAAGGAAGTTTCCATTGTTTGGCACATACAGCTGATCTGAAGTGCCATGCAGTGCTAGATTTTGGGTAGCAAGCATTCTCACAATGGTAATGAACCTTTTCAGAACATTTTGCCAGTAAAGATGCACTCTTCTCTTGATGCTGATCATCTGTGGTGGCCTTTAACCTTAGTTTCATCTCAAGCTCTTTCCACCTATGGAATGCTCTCTGGTGATTTGCTGCCTTCTCATGGCATGCCAGATTTTTAGTCAGATTTTTCCAGTCCTTTGTTCCTGTAAAACCCAGCGTGACTGGAATATTAGACTGGAAGAGTTTGCAACAAAAACAGTATGCAGCATTCTGGGGTTTGGAGTACATAAGCCATGGCCTCTCCATTTTGTCGCCATTGGTGATTTCACACCAGTAATGTGTTGGATGGAAACTTCTATTTTCATTGTCTTTGGGGAACATGAAGTTTTTCACTGGCTGTGGCCCATGCAGTACAAGGAAGTCCCTCAGGCTACTGCTCAAGTGGGTCCACAGTCCTGGATCATCTAGACTTAAAGAACTAAACTCAGCAGCAGCTGTTTCTTGTGCCTCCACCACACTCTTCTCTGATCTACCTTTTTCTTCAGGAATGTGCATGGTTATATGCATTTGAGATGGAGATATGGATGCTGCAGTAGCTGCCAGGTCACCTGCACTCTGACTAACTGGAAGATCAGGCATCTCCTCACCACTCACATCCTCACTGGGGCCGGAAGGCTCACCATGAACATTTGTGTCTATGTATCTCAGGAAAGTTCCTTCCTGCTTAGATAGAAAAGCTTCCTTTGCTTTCTTTCTTTTTCTGAATGCTGCCCCAGAGGGGTGTTTTCTTCTTTCACTCATAACTGCTGTTCTGTGCCAGCTATAGTGGCTCTCAATACTCAGTTGAAGGGGACAAATAAGCAGGCTGGTAGCAGGACCTGAGTGAGGGAAGATATCAGCGTCTTAAGGGCCTAACTGGTTCCTACTACTTCAGTTGACTGCCTGTTCTCCTCAAATGGGTTCAGGGAAGCAGCAGGAAACTCCCTGAGAAGCTGGTGTTAATCAGTCCAGGCTCCTGGGGGTAACAGAGAGGTACATAAGAGGCTCCTCCTCCTCTCTCTCCCTGCAGCTCCTGCTGCTTTCTGTTATTCCCTCTCACCTTTTCTTCTGCCTGCCTGTTATGTCTCTTGTGCCCTCCTTCCTCCAGCACTGCACTCCACCATCTCTGTGCATCTAGAGCAGAGAGAATACATATTCACCAGCAGCAGACACAATTTTCTACACTCTGGGTCCTAGTGGCGCCCCCCCCCCCCCCCCGACTGGCACTTCAGGCGGCCACCTCAGTTCGCCTCATGGTAAGGCCAGCCCTGCTCTTGCCTTTCTCATTGATGCCACCCTTGATAGCCCAATTCCCCATGTCTCTGACAAACTTTTCTGTGTTTTCTCTCATGCTGCTCCTTACATGTGGAAAAGTTCCCAGTCAAAATCCATGAAGCCACCATCTGACCCTCCTCCAACTCCTTCCTCAGAAATCATCTCTTCCATAATGGACACAGTAAAATACAATCTGATTCATAGATTCCAAGGGCAGAAGGAACCATCGTGATCATCTAGTTTGACCTCCTGTATAACACAGGCCATAGAACTTCCCTGAATTAATTCCAGGTTGAACTAGAGCAGATCTGTTAGAAAAACATCCAGTCTTGATTTAAAGATTTCCATTAATGGCGAATTCTTAGTAAGTTGTTCCGGTGGTTAATTACCCTCACTGGTAAAAATGTGCTCCTTATTTCTAGCTTGAGTTTGTCTAGCTTCAACTTCCGGCCATTGGATCTTGTTATACCTTTGTCAGCTAGATTGAAAAGCCATCTATTGTCAAATTTCTGATCATCATGTAGGTACTTATAGTCTGTCATCAAGTCACCCTCCTAACTTTCTCTTTTGGCTACAGCATCTCACTGGGAGCTCGTTTTCAACAGATTATCTACCATGACTCCCCACCCCCTCAGGTCTTTTTCCCTGGATAGAGTTCCCCCATGATAATGGGCAGGTGGCATTATGATTGCTGCTCCTGATTGCCTGAGAATTGCACACATTCTATTATTTGTGTTACCCTGTCTCTCCCATCTCACCTTACGTACTTGTCTCAGCCACTGTTGTGTGTTGTCTGTTGGGCTGTAAACTCTTTGGGGTGCATCCGAAGAAGTGGGCTGTAGCCCATGAAAGGTTATGCTCTAATAAATTTGTTAGTCTCTAAGGTGCCACAAGTACTCCTGTTCTTTTTGCGGATACAGACTAACACAGCTGCTACTCTGAAACCTATCTTTGGGGTGGGACACTAATTTTCTATATGTTTGTACAGTTACTAGAAAAATGGGGGCCTCACCTGGTTGCTACTACAATATAAATGTTAAATAATAACTCCACATTTAGCACACTTTTTTTGTAAGTGACTAAGGTAAAATGACCAACCATTTATTAATAAAGAAAAACAGAATTTTACTGCCTCAAAGTTTTTCTAGTTCCCCAAAGACTTGAGGATGTTTCCATTTGGAGCTGACCTTGGAGGTTGTGCCACACTCTGCCCAGGCCTGTCTCCACACAGCTCCCAAAGGCTCAGCTCTAGTCCTCTGCTCTGGCTTCATAGGCAAATGGGTCAGATGAAATCAGCTTCCTAGGAACCACTGCTCCTCCAGTTGGATCTAATTGAAGCTGCTGCCTCTCCTCAGGGGACTTGAGCTCTTAGGGTCTGTCTGTACAGCAAATGAAGGTGTGATTTGCAGTGCAGGTAAGCAAGCTAAGTATGTATGGAGGTCCCAGCAGGCTTGTACTGGGGAGGCTAGCCCATTCAGAGCCTGTGCAGAGACATCTTCACTGCTATTGTTACCCCATTTAGCTAGATTAAAGGTAGTGCAGGTATGCCTACCTGTGCTAAAATGACACCTTCATTTGCTGTATAGACATGCCCTTAGAATCAAGAAAACGAGTGTATATGAATCAGTAAAATAAAATTAACGATGAGGAAGAAAACACACACAACAGGCTGATTCTCTCTCTGCTCTGGAGATGACCTGGGGAAATGGGACAATATGGCAATTAAGAGAAAGGGGCAGCAAAACCGAGTTAGCAAAAGGAGAGACTGGCCAGAATCTTTCCTTGCTGTGTGGCACACGTAGTCTATCCTCCCCAAAGAAATATGCACATCCTCCTGGGCTGAGCACCTTGCCTCACCTGCTCCTAAGTGATCTCTTGCAGGGTATGCATATTTTCACCTCAATAGCTCCAGCTTTCAATATATTAAAAATTAATTTTAATTACTTCTCAGATATGTCTCTTGCTGCTAAAACCTGAAAGTATAACTTTGTAAGCAAAAACTCTTCTGGTTTGTAGGAGCTCTCTCTGTTTCATTTTACCAGACCTAAACGTGAGGCTTAAACTCCCAAACAATGTGAAAGGGTCTCCGCAATGGCTGCACTTTGTAATTAGTCTGTGAATATAGAAATTGGGCAGTGATGAGTTTTCTTGTGCCACTTCATGTGACAGTTCATACAAATTCTGTAATGGCATTTATTGCATATACGGATAAATGTAACACAGTGAACACAGCCTGCCTTGAGCACTGATGACGGTAAGACATGAAGATGCAGAAAACATTTTATCTCTGGCAGGGTAGATGCTCAAGGGTGTCTGGGGACATAGTTGGGTGGAGGACTTTGACTGGGTAGATGGATAGAGGGCTGCTAGGGCTCCAGGAGATTAGAGTTCATGAGCTGCTGATGCATGGAGCTCTTGAGGCAGGGGATTCATGGGGGCAGGTGGGTGCTGAGGGATAGGTAGGTGTTTGAGTAGCTGGTGCGGGGAGGAGTCTGGGGCAACTGGCTGTTGAGGGTGCAGGCACAGGCCAGCCTGGGGCCAGTGTCAGGCTCCATACCTTGTGCTTTTGCCATCCTTAAATCCCTGTTTTTCTCTTTTGATGTCCAGGTATCTGTATCTGCTTTTCTCCAATGATGACCTCCTGCCTTTAGACAACTGGGTTTTTAACACAGAAGCTCATCCCTTGCCTGTTTTACATTTAGCCAACACCACACTTTCAGGAAATCCTGCTTATCGATAAAAACAGCTCCAGGAAGAAGAGGAGAGACTGCACTCAGCTGTGTTTTGTTTACATGGACCACTTGAGACTTTAGGCTGGAGAGGAGACAGACATTTGGTTAATCTGAGTCAAGACGCAGGGTGAGAAACAACCTCTGCCCCCAAAGCTCTTCAACCTGTAGATAAGTAAACTCTGAAATAATTCCTTTTTATACATGACCAAAACATGCTACTGGGGCATTTGCAGGACAGAGACCTTGTGTGCTTTGAACCCGAACAGCAGAGTGGAGCCTGTTACTAGATATAGAGTCCAGCAGCCAAAGGAACCACAGGCTTCCTGGCCAGGGGCTGGAGTTTGCTGCTGCTGGCCTTGTCTCCTACTCAGATGGGGTGTATTCCAGAGACTAAGACATTTGTTTTTTCTTTCTATTTTGATGATGGCATGAGCAAAGCAACAACAAAAAAGCAACGTAACTGCACCAGCAGCACCAGGATTTGAAAATTTTTCTGTACCTGTCTGACTTTTCTAATCTGCATCAGTTTGCCGAGACTGGCAGCCATTCCCAGTGCCTCCTTTTCATTTACCCCCTTCATAACAAAGTCCAAAGACCTGTGAAGCACAATCACACCCAGAGAACAGTTACCAAGCATTTGTTTTTGTAATTTACTGGCAGCACTGTGCTGTTAGTTCACCACACAAGATATGGACACAGAGCATAGAAGACACAGCTAAGTGTTTCCCTTGATCACCAATCCTGTCATATGGAAAGGCTACACTCCCTTATATCAGTCCTTTTCTGCCACTTCCACAAAGATAACAACAGAAATTGCCCATCCTGGTTTATGTGGCAGACTGCATCACATTCACTGGGACACAGTTCTCTTTAGGTGAGATATAGTAGTTTGTATCATTGCATTACATTTGTCCATGCAACCTGTGGTTTTCCTTGACTCTCGCTTTTATTATTTGGACAGTGCTCACAAATCCTGCTTTGTAAATCTGAAGTCTTGCCTTGTTTTTTGAGGTGTATGGCAAGAGACCAAAACTGCCTCAGATTTGGTTTATTAAAACAAGTTTTATCTGGGCCATAAACTGCCCCAATGCAAAGCCAACATGAGAGTCTCTCTGGAAAAATCTGTTACACACCAATATACCACATAACTCAAGTTAATCAGGCTGTGTTACCTGCATACATTTGGTCTAGTTATTACATAGTCCTGCCCTGAGTGCAGGGGACTGGACTAGATGACCTCTTGAGGTCCCTTCCAGTGCTACGCTTCTATGATTTCCTCTGGACATTGCTGGCTGAAGCAACCTCACTGTTCTGAGTTCAGGCCCAACAGCATGAGTTAAGGGGGTAGTGCATTTCAGTCTTCACTTACAGCATAGGTGTCCTGACTCTTGTCTCCCATTACTGAGAATCTCTTCTCATCTATAGAATAGAATCCTGTGCACTCAGAAATAACGCCTGTTAACATCAGTAGGGTTTGTTTAAAGTGAGTTTCACTTGCTGCTTTAATTTCTAAAAATTTCCTTTCTTTCAGTTTTTCTGCTTAAATGGGCAGCTCTGTACCAGGCATCCTGTCTCGCTGACAGCTTACTAGAGAAATGTCTTAAATCAATATTGTATGCATAGACTGGAATCAGATTGTTGGTTACATATTTTAAGCATTTCCTTTCCAGTCAGTTGGCAATAAAACAACCTTAGAGAAGATGGCTTATTCAATTAAAAGCATATATAAGATTCATGCTATTGGCCTTTGGGTCTGCCTACCATGCCTCAGTGGGTAGAATAGGATATTACGTGTAAGTCCTTTATTTCCACACACCTCAGCGCCAAATTTCCAACATATTTGAGATCTTGAAGGCGTCTCCATTTTGTTTTCTCAAAATACAACAAAAGGGCAAAGTACCCCATCGTGGGCTATATTTATTTAAAGAAACTCAATCTTCAAAAGCAAATCATCTCTCCCCCCAGCCCCAGCACCTTGAGAGCTAAAAAGGATTCTGCTCACCTCCTTTTTTATTATTCTTCTTCACAGCTCCGAAGATTCTTTCCCCAGGGTGACCGTCCTTCGAGCTGAGAAAGGGCTGGCTGTAGATCATCGTAAGGTGCTTCTGCCCTCTTCACACCAGCAGGATGAACATGCTGCCTTTACAATAGTCCTGTTGTAGCTATGTCAGTTCACTGCAGAGGGAAGTACTATTACTAGGCAGCCAGCCACGAAACACCTTTGTCTTTGATTCCTGTGACATTTTTAATTATTTGAGCCTTTCTGGGCTCTCAGTACTTCATTCCCCTCATGTCAGCTTAAAGAGAGGTTTGGGTTTTTTTGCTTAAGCCCCTGAAAATGAGCTTTCTATAACAAGAACATTGCCACAACAGGAACTCCAGGAAGGGATGGAGACAGGAAAGTGCAGCCCACTGAGTGCTACAATGAACTCCATGGCCACCTTCATCTTTGGTGCACAGCAGTGTCCTGCAGAACACTGTGTCCCCCCAATATGCAGTGTCTCATCTTGGCCTGAGTGACCTGGCTACAATCTGCTCCATTTTGTATATCTAAAGTGGCATTTAGTTTTTCCATTTTTAGTCCCCAGTTCAGCAAAGCACATAAGCCTGTGGCCTTAATGCACAGACCAAGAACCATGCATGGAGAGAGAGAATGGTAGAACCACTGACTCCCGTGATGAGAATCCCACCTTAATGCTAAATTTCCTTTACCCTTTGGCATTAATTTAAAGATTAAAAAATCATCCCCTTGTCATGGCAATTCTGATGTGGTGTACTCTAGGAACAAATGTTATCCAAATGATTGTCGCCAGATTGCAACTTCAGTTTCAGAGGAGGAAGAGAGAGAGCTTGAAAAACACTCAAATGCCAAGAGTTTTTATCTTAGTACTAATTACTCAATTACTGTAATTTGCAACACTAGTAAAAAAAAATCAATCTGAAAAAAGTCAAAGTAATGAATGTAGTAAATAATTCTGATTCAAGTAATTGTTTACTTCAAATTAAAATAAACTGATTCTTTTTACTACTGCCACAAAATATAATTTTCTAATTAGAAATTAATGACTAATTGAAGAGCTAGTGCTTTTCCATTTTAATATTTTGTGATATTGAGTTGAGTTTTTCCAGTCCCAGTTTGAACCTGCACTTCATTGCCTTAGTTCTGTAAGTCTCTCTGTGTTGAAGGGGGACTGAGGAAAAACAGGGAGTCTTTAGTAACAGGCTCTACCCCAGCCAACCCATACTCCTCCTGGCCAGTGGAAGCACGGAATGGCTGCCAGTCTCTTCAGAAGAAGGTCAAGGACAAAATTCTAGAGTCCCAAAAATAGAAACATCAAACCTCTCACTGATGTTTACTCTTTTCCCATCCCACTGGTTTGAATTACAGAACCACCACTCAAATTAATTGCCTGTGTAAGTCTCACTGGGGTTAATTCACTGCCACAAGAAGTATTTGAATTTAGGTCATGAGCCACTTCATGGCAAGGGGATTGTAATTTTCTCCAGTCAGATGTACAGCAATGCCATTTCTCCTGTGTGTAAACATGCAACAGGTTCCAAATAAAGGACATTTGCTTCCTGTCATCTAGTTATCCCAGGGTCTGCTGGTTTCTACCATATCCCAATTTAGAATGCAGTCACCCATCTCCCTCAAAGCTACTAATGTGCTGCCTACTTCTAGAGTAATACATTTTGTGAACTAATTGCTGTACTCTTCATGCATTGCAACATTCTGGGCTGCCCCCAGAGCAGAATGAGTTTGGCTGTCGTGAGTTCTGAGAAGGATGTCCATAATAACCAGACATGGATGCTGAAGCATCCATCTTGTTTTCCTGACTTCAGGTGGTAGGCTTTTTCTCAGCCCTTTTCAGAGCTGGGATACTGATCAGCAGCATGGAGTTAGCTGCAGCCAAGAGCTCAGACTCTGTTTTCTCTTGGGTACATGTGGCATACTAGGACATTGTCACTTTCATTCTGTTGCTGCTGTTTTACAGACTTTTCTGAAGGTATAGATACTTATTTTTTTAACAGAGTGATATTTTAGTGTTAGCTGTCTCCAAGTCTTGTGCTATATCTTCTAACCAAACAAACACATAGTTCTGGCTTTCATTCAAGTTGCTGCTGTCTTGGTTGGCAATTTCTACAGCACCCTGTGTTCTTACAGGAAGAAACAAAAGCAGAAAACAAGGTGTGCACTTGAATCATAGAATCATAGAATATCAGGGTTGGAAGGGACCTCAAGAGGTCATCTAGTCCAACCCCCTGCTCAAAGCAGGACCAATTCCCAACTAAATCATCCCAGCCAGGGCTTTGTCAAGCCGGGCCTTAAAAACCTCCAAGGAAGGAGACTCCACCACCTCCCTAGGTAACGCATTTCTTGTGGCAGACTGGCTTTGCGAAAGACCCTGGAGATCCCCAAACTGTCCATTTTCTGTTTGCGTGCACTCAAGGTACGAATGTGCAATCCACATCCCAATCAGGCCTCTGTAGGCCAGGATCCACCAGGAGCAAAGGCATTATTTTTAACATTTTGGGCCTGATTTTCAGAGAGGCTAAACATCTGCAATTCCCAGTGACTTAGCTGGAGTTGTGGGTGCCAAGCACACCTGACAGTTCCCTTCTTGGCTTTGCTCCATTTACTGAATAAGGCTAAAATGACATTCCAGCTGCTCACTTACTGCACAAAATGCTCCTTAAACCTCTTATTGAAGATTTTTGTATATACAATTGTAGCTATTCTGGAGATCCAGAGAACAAACCTGAAGTCAGTGGAAAGTCAGAGAAAGTTCTGTGGTTCCCAAGTCAGCTCAGGGTGTTTAGGTTCCCCTGCCCCAAACCTTAAAGATGATAACCCTCCATGCACTGCCCCTGCTACTTCTCATTCCTTGGTTGCGCACTCTGAACCAGTGTTTTCCAAACTTTTGAATGCTGTGGAAAATGAAACCAATCACACTCTTCTGGGAGCCCCGCCATGTGTTGTTAAAGGCCTACAGATCTTAATTTATACACCATCTGGGCTCCCAGATGCTCCTCCCCCTTGTCTCTTTTGGAAATGCTGGTGTAGAGTTTCATCATAGGATATTTCCTCTGCTTTCCTACCTAGTGTGGTGAGCAGTGAAATGGTTAATAATGTGGACATTTAAAGCATCATCACTGGGATCTGAATTAGCATTCATTGAAATGCATGGGGCAGTTCACACTTCAGAGCTATCTTTTCATGCTCTCTACCAACTCAGGCAGACATCTCTGCACTAGTTACACTTAGGGTATGTCTACACATAAGCCACTACAGCTGCACTACTGTGGCGCATCAGTGAAGACACTATCTCCCATCGGCGTAGTTACTCCACCTTCCCAAGAGGCGATAGCTGGGTCAACGGGAGTATTCTCCTGTCGACCTAGCACTGTCTACATCAGGGATTAGGTCAGATTAACTGCATCGCTCAGGGGTGTGGATTTTTCACACCCCGGAGCAATGTAGTTATATTGACCTAATTTCCTAGTATAGACCAGACCTTACTCCATGTTTCTAAGGTTTTCACCACAGGCATAACACCCAGAAATTGACTTTATTTTAAAGAAATAAATGCTGATGCTCTGGAGGACAATTGAGTGGTCTGACTGCACTCCCGCCATAACCCTCAACCAGTCCTTCACTTGCCATGTTTTGGGAAATATTACTTTGACCAAAAGTGCAGATTGGGCTGTCATACTGAGAGCAACTTGAGCTCCATTACTGGTTAACGTGTGCACCGTTCTATAAGGGAGGGCAAGCACTGGTTTCTACAACTGCTCTACAGTTGCCCAAAAGGTTGGGAACCACTACAAGCTAGAGGGAAGACTGCATAGCTTGGTTCAGTCAGAATCTGTTGTTTTTAATCCCTGTCACTCTCGGTGGAAGTTGTACTGTCGTTCTGCCGCACTTTCTTTGCATAAAGTTCACAGATTATTTTTCCTCTGAAATAACAGAGGGGCAAGAGACAACCTTCTGATTTGGGAACTTTCTGGCTGCCTCCAACCTGGTACCCTGCATATGTACTTTTTACAGATGAAAAGTAATATTGTATATAAAAAATATCAAATAAAGAATGTCTTTACGTGAAAAAGGGCATGTGCTGTGTTCTTATCCTCCTTTCTTAGCAACAGGCCGAGGCACTGGGCTGTGGATTTGCAGTCCTGCTGGTGCTGTAGCATTCCACTCAACCAGTTTAGCCAGGCACTTCCTCTCCAGTGTTAAACATTCTTCAAAGTCCGCTATTTCAAAACTAAGATTCCCACATCTCTTAGCTACCATTAACAGATGATTTCCAAGTTTGGAGTCTGTTCAGGATGCAATCAAGCCTGGGCTTGTCATTTTACACAGTTATGTCTTAAATTTTGATGTTTATGTTTGAAAAGAAAAGAAATTATCTAGGACCTGACATTGTGCTAGAACAGCAGATGAACTGGCCATGATGTGTCCTCCATGTGGAGAAAAGTCAGTTCTTAGTTATTGTTTAAATGTTATGCATGTAGGGAACAGAAACAGAGGAATCCTCCTAGATTGGAATAATTTCCCCATACGCCCTCTGCAGAAATACAGAAAAATTTCACTTGAACCACAACCATAATCTGTTTACTGCAGTACAATGAACACATTTTGGATTCTACTTCATTCCACTTCACAATAAAAGCAGGTAAAATTTAGCACTTAAAAATGGTGATTTTTAAGCATTAAACAATGTAACCTAGCATCCCATACCTCATCAGGTTCCACTTAATCCCATGGCATCCTTCCCCCATACTACCCCACATGGGCAGCAACCCACCGCTCTGCACCACACTGCCATGCACACCACTCCAACAACACTCCATCCCCACATCTCTGCAGCACCCCATGCCGCACACCACATTCCCACAACACCTCACTCTGCTGAGCCCTCTGCTCATGGCGCAGACACACCCCAGCACCAACCCCCCCCCCCCACTGCCTCATGATACCTTATCCACATAGACCCATCTCTCTGCATCCCAACTCTAAAGCACCCCCACCTATGCACAGCACAGCCATATGGCATTTCACCCCACACCCACAGCACCCACTTAGTACCCAGCACCTCCTCCTCCCAGCACCCTACACTGACAGCACTGTACACCTGCAGAACTTCACCATCACACATCCAAGCTCCAGGCATTTGATGCCTCCCTCCCCCACCTCTTGCCCTCACAGCATCCAACCCCACCCCCCAGAGCAAAGCACTGCCCATTCAGTGCTTTGGGGGGAGGGATAGCTCAGTGGTTTGAGCATTGGCTTGCTAAACCCAGGGTTGTGAGTTCAAACCTTGAGGGAGCCACTTAGGGAATCTAGGGCAAAATCAGTACTTATATGGAGATATACCTATCTCCTAGAACTGGAAGGGACCTTGAAAGGTCATCGAGTCCAGCCCCCTGCCTTCACTAGCAGGACCAAGTACTGATTTTTGCCCCAAATCCCTAAGTGGCCCCCTCAAGGATTGAACTCACAACCCTGGGTTTAGCAGGCCAATGCTCAAACCACTGAGCTATCCCTCCCCCCTTGAGCTATACTTGGTCCTGCTAGTGAAGGCAGGGGGCTGGACTCGATGACCTTTCAAGGTCCCTTCCAGTTCTAGGAGATGGGATATCTCCATTAATAAAAAATAAAAAAAAATCCACCCAACAGCCATTTGCTCTAGCCCTAAGGCACCCAACCTCCACAGCACCCCATGTCATCCCTCCCCTATAGCAACCTGTATCTGCGCACCAGTCCCACAACACCCTGACCCCATGCACATCACCTCCCCAGCACCATCCCCCAATACACTCCACCTGCTGACATGACAGCCCATCTCTATGTCAGCCCACCATTCACCATCCCATCACCATGGTATGTCACTGCCCTGACACTCCACCCCTATACACCCCACTTGCATGGCTCTGCTTGGTAACCAAATCCCCAGACCTTCATTCCCTTAACAGCCTGCACCCCTCCACATCAGCACCACATACCCGTGATATCCCAACGTCCAGCACACCACCGCCATGGCATACCACTTCTACACCATACCCCTATGACTACCCCATGACTGTGCACCGCAGCCCCATAGCAACGTCACCCCCTTGCATACCACATCCACAGTCTCACTTGCCACAGCACTCCACATCACAGCACCCCACCGCTATGGCAACTCATCCCCAGCACCCACTCCCACAGCCCCCCACCACTTCCAGGACACCCTCCCTTCCAACCCCCCACTCCTTGTGCCCCGACCCTGCTACGTCCTACCATCAGCGCAGCATCTCCATGACACCTCACCCCCTTGAACCTCAGAGCCCTGCAGCCTACCCCAGTGCACCACATCCCTACAGTACCCAACCCTCTGCACCTGCCCATGGAATGCCAGTGCCTGCATCTCACCCTCTCAATACCCCAGCCCCTTGTACTCCCCCACAACTCCCCAAGCCAGCAGCAATGCATCCTTCCTAATGTGTCCCCCCATGCCCTAGCTCTACTGCACCCTACTCCCACACACCACACACACCCAGTACTCCATTCCTCTGCCTTTGCTCCTGCCAAGCAACACACCTGCCACACCACATCCTCACAGCAAGCTACAGCCACAGCAGCTTATACCCCTGTGCCCTAACACAACAGTACCTCTTGTGCCTTTATTCCCTTGTATCCCCGCACTCAACAGCCCCTGCACTACAATGCCTACCCCTATGGCACTCCACCCCACTAAATCGTCCCACTCAGCAATCCATCCCCATGGTACACCACACCCCACTATCATAGCAACTGACCCCCATGGAAAAACACCCCCTCCAGGTAACCCATCTCCCTGTACCCTACGCCTATGACATTGCCTCCCCATGACTGTCTATTCCTACTATACACATACCCCATGCAACTCTCCATGGACCACCACCCCCTCTCCACTCCGCTCCCTAGACTCATGCTTCTGGACCACGTGACTTCATTATAGTCACATTCTACTGTGTAGTCCACCAATATACTACTAAAAATGTACATATTCAGCCAATTGGCTCATTCATCAACTGTATATGTTTAAAGGCGGGAGCACTGCTACGTTTCCCCTGTCATGTGCAGATCTGCGGTTGCCATCTATCATGCAATAGGGAGGCTGGAGCCGTTTTAAAAGTACTGTGAGGGAGGGCTTCCATTCATGCCAAGTCACTCCTGTTTATGGGGTAGGTGTGTTTTCTTTAAGTGAAATGGCAGTGGTATGTCAATCGTGTTCCAGCTTCAATGGGATAGAGGGGTTCAGGCAACATAAAATGTCTAATGCCAGATTTCTACCAGGTGAAAACCTGTGGGGAAAAACCAGTGCCTGTTCCTGTATACTAATAAAATTAACCAGCAGTTCAGTCATCTTCCATCCAAAGGCTTCCACTGTGCAAGGCAGCTGTAGGCAAGGGATGGGGTGAAGGCAAGGGAGCGGCGAACAGCAGAGGCTAACAGCGGGAGTTTGCCTGGGAGCTGTCCAAGAGGAGGTACGCTAAG